TAAATTTAGAAAAAAGAAAGAAAAAAAAAAAAAAAGGTAAGTAGAAAAGCTACAGCGGGTTGGAGTTAGAAAAAAAAAAGAAGTTATTAATTCTTGCAATAAGTTTATTACAAGAAAGGTAAGGAAAAAAAAAACTGAAACGTTTTTTTTTCAACATCAAGTGAAACGACGTCGTTTCACTTTAAGATTTTTTTTTTTAAACACTTCAATCAAAACGACGTCGTTTCATTACAATAAACCTAAAAAAAAAAGGGGGTCGTCCTCCTCGCGACGCCGTCTTCCTCGCAGAGGATTTGCAGACTTGAAAATTTCTTCATGTTCAGAAGTTTCTAGATATGGTGCGCCTTGCAACGCCTCCCTCCGCTTGGCCACGCCTTGCAACGCCCTCTCACGCCTTACCAACGCTAAACGTGCAACTCGCGAAACAGCCGACCGCCTCGGGCGTTTCTCGCTCCGATGCGAGCTCTGACGCGCGCGAAGGCATGCCTTTGAAAACACTGATCCTTATACGTGGAAACCAGAGTTTCTCTGGCTGCAGAAGTTTTACATGGGGCCGAAAGAATTTTGTTTTGTATTTCTTCAAATATAACTGGGTATCAGTGTCTGTATTTCCGATATGTATAATGGGTGTTAGTCAAACTTAATGTCAATGTTAAACCTAGTCGAGTCCTCGTCAACTGGAGGTAGCATGTCTAGTCGGGTTTTGTGTATTCGAGCAGCATGTGTGGTGACCTGTAAATCTTCACCAGCGTCCAATAAAGGACCTCTTCAACTCCAAGCTCACCCTCTGCTCTTGCAGCATATATATCCTCACAAATGGCTATAAACCTATACAATAAAAGAGCCATATAAGTTTCAGGGAAATATTACTCTTATCGATACTTGGTTTGGGAAACGAAAGATAAGAAGGAAGGACCAAAACAAAGTTGCCTTACCTATCACAGGAAGGAAGGTTTTCATGAGGGATTCTCATTCTTAAGTCAGAGCATTGAAGTCTGATAAAGCGGCCAACAGCAAGAACAAATGTTATGTAGAGACCCCAGATGCTAAACTTGCTAAGGGTGTCACCAAGAATACACTCTGAAGAAACATTGCAGATCGGAAATATCACCCAAAAATGAAGAACAAAAGTCATTTAAACCAAAAATATTGTTAGTAAACCACAAAGCAAACTTGTGCACATGAAACAGGACATTTTTCATGAACTTATGTGGCGGTGTTTCCTCAGATACAATGATGGCTATGGATCCTCTCAAACCTCCACATCCATTGACGTCGGATAAAATTAAGGTCATGGAAGGACCACCAGTCGTGAATAGCACGATTTATGACAAGATCCGCACTAATAAAATTATCCTGTAAATCAATAGTATTCCATCATTTCAACAAAAAAGTGCTATGAAAATTACTGCAGGGACATGAGCCTCTGTGTAAGATTTCAATACAAACATCTCTCTCTTTCTCTCACTCTCTCACCTGAAACCAAGAGCTCAAATTGATAACAAAATTTGACATATATAACTGACGTTAGTTAGAGATGTAACTGAGAGAGAGGCCCAATTGAAAGCCCATCTCTCCTTCTGTTTTCCTCATCTACACGAGCGGAGGCCCAAGTCTAACACGAGCCGTCTTCCAGCCCTCCCCGCGACCTCTCATCTTCTTCAATCCTCATCTCGCCACCCCAAAATCTGAGCCACCATCATAATCTCGTCCCTAACCTTGGAGATTCCAAAATGGCGTTTTTTTTTCTGGGTCAGACCCGCCCACGCCGCCCACCCAGCCGAGGCGGCCGCCTAGGCCGATTTTTCAAACACTGCCGGATCATCAGAAACCTCTGCAGAAATTAGTATATTCTTATAGCTCCCAAAATCTGAGCTACCATCATCATCTCGTCCCTGACCTTGGAGATTCCAAAATGGCGTTTTTTTTCTGGGTCAGACCCGCCCAGACTGCCTAGGCGGCCGCCTAGCGCCTAGTCCCCGCCTAGGCCGATTTTTCGAACACCGCCTGATCATCAAAAACCTCCGCAGAAAATAGTACATTCTTATAGCTTCCCGATGCTAATTCCTTGCCTAAACTCCTTGAAAAACTTCCTCATAGGAAATCATGCCCGCCCACCCGAAAGCCATTGTTCATGAATAATTTCTGCATTCATTTCCTTGCACTAGTCTAGGGAAGAAAACATGTGGTGCATTTCTTTCTTGACAGAGAAAAGCAATTAAAACACTTGAAATAAGCAAACTGACGTTGATCCCAATCTATTTCATTCAGTTTCTGCCAGTGCCAACCAAGCAGGCAATTCTCTCAAGAAAAGAAAACATGCGCGCATGGCAGAACCAGTTACAGTGTGCAATAACTTGCCAATGTCATCAGAGGGAGGCCCTACAACAACATACTAAAATGATGAATTCCCTACCCTCCATAACACAATCACCATCCGAAAAAGACAACTGGCGGACAAGTATACTATCTTCCTGGACAATCATTATTGAAGATGCAGAGCTTGAAAATCTTGTTAGATACCCTGCACTGCATGGATGGCCCGTATACTAGCTAGGCCGACTGCCGTTAAACGTAGACCTAAGCACGCAGACTTTGCTGTTTGTGGACTGAACTGCCCCTCCACAACTAAATTGGCCAACTTGAAATGATAGGGACCATAAGTGTTAAAAGTGGAAAGTGAGGATTTAAGCACACGCTACCATTCCTCTTCCCGAGCCACCACCATCACCTGCGCCTTCATCTCTCTCGCTCTCTCTCATGGCTACCGCTACTCCAGCTAAGCGAGTCGGCACTCACAATGGCAGCTTCCACTGCGACGAAGCCCTCAGCTGCAAGGTCTACAAGTTAGTCAAGTAGCATCCTAGTTCCTTCAGGTTCTGATTGATAGATTGCTTCGAGTCGCTGTGATATATTGGTATCTTAATTTAGTGTTTTAAAAAGCTTTCCCCTTTGTGTGTTCTGTACACTACACACAAATGCATGAATTTGCTTTTGTAATTTTTCTGACGCTGTGGTATTTGTGAATTGTGGCACTGTCATGTGTGCTGGGGGTCTTATTCAAACTATTTGGGCTGCCTGTATTAGCCTAGGCACTGGAGCAGATCAAGTTAATCTTTCCTTACAAAGGGCACACCTCTGGCAAAGTTGGAGAGGAAACATTTTTCCACTAGCAAAGAGAAATGTGTGAAGGAGAAGCGAGATATATGAGATCATGCTAAGCGTTCCATTTGTGCACAATATTTTCGTAGAAAACTGTATGAAATAACTTGCTGCTGTTGGGGCAATGGCTCCCATTCTGCTACGAAAGAGCAATGCGTGAAGCTTCTTCAGTGCCTGCCTGCTGCTGTGTTTGCGCCTCACTGGCTCACTCTTGCGTTTGGGCGGGATGGTTTTACATATAAAAACTGGTCCTGCTTTGCACTTGGCGTCTTGGCCCAATTTCCCTCCCACCTGTTTAATTTAATTCAACTTCAATTCTTGAGATGCACTAATCTCAACCATTCAATCAATTTCCCCACTTGACTTCATTTTCATGGATGGCTTGGATTTGCACACTAATTGTAGTAATAGCAGGGGACTTCAAAACATTTAATTTCGTCATTACATGCAAGTTGCAACTGACCCAATTTAGGGCTAAATAACACGGTGAGTAGTTCTAGTGCATTATTGTTGAGTAATAAAAGGTAGGTATATAGGAGTTTTTGTAGGTTCATAAATAAAATGGATTTATAACATGTTTTGCACTCATATAGCATTTAGCGAAAATAAAATTGTGAAGCCTAAGTTTAGATTGAGTTTGAAATAATTCTTCATTTTTATTTTTCAGAAAAAAAATAGTTAAAGCTTGCATGTTCACTCTCTTGTATGTTATGCTGAAAATTGCCAGAGTTTTCAGGTGTATCGATATACTATCTTGTAGTTGAAGCTTGCCTGAGTTTTCGAGAATCTTATTTCATCTTTATCAACGGACGAATTATGGGTCTGTATATTGGGCCACAGGAAACCTGGCGCCGCCGAGTAACATTTGTTGAATAATGGATGCCCCAATCTACTTGATTGTCCAACCAATTATTTCTATATGTAAGCGATAAGATTTAGCTTTCCTAAATCAAATGGCCTCCTCTGACAGATGGTAATAATGGCTGGCCTTTACTGTGCAGCCATCACCAGCCATTGTCAATTGGACAATCGACCTGACAGCAGCAAATGGGATTTGGAAATTGGGCTGTGAAATTGCATCTCGTATATCACACTATGGCACTGTTTTATTACCTCCTGTCAATGAGAGTTTTTTGGCTCATTATAATCCATGATATAATGACACATATCCATGATATAACTATGGTTAATTATTTACTTTTAAATCTTTTAATGTATTCAAAACCAAAAAATAAAATAAAATAAAAACTATAAAAAATTCTCTCTCCTCTCTCTTCTTTCCCTTTGTAAGACATCATCTCAAATACCCTACGATAATACACTAGTACTACTCTTGAGTTGAAATTAGTTAAAGTTGAGACTCTTGAAAATAAGATCTCAATGAAATCAAGTTTTGGGAAAATACCAGCATTCAGTAAGAAATGGGTAGAAGAAGCAATGCTAAGAGGGGACTTTACAAATTTCAAGCACTTCAATGGCTCAAATCTAAACGAGGTTCCATATCCGAAGCTGAAAAGGCAACGAATGGAGGTGAACATGAAGCCACAATGTCTGACAGCGACACTAGGGTTAGGGTTTTTGGGGACCGAGAGATCATAGATGACTTGTTGCGTAATAGCCACGATGGCAGCAACACCTGTGAATGGTGGATGGGGTTGCTGAGGGGGTGGCTGTAGAGAATAGGGAGTCTGGGGTGGGGTGGGGTGGGATTGGGTCGGGAAAGGAGAGACAGAAGGAGAGAGATTTTTTTTAGTTTTTATTTTATTTTGTTTTTGTTTTTGAGTACTTTAAAAGATTTAAAAGTAAATAATTAACCATAGTTATACCATTGACATGTGTCAAGTTTTTAAAACAGTGGTGAGAGTATTCCTTGAGTTAAAGTGGTGAGCAAAAATACTCCCCCAATCAATTACATCCCGCAATGGTTCCACATGACGGCACGACATGACATGCAAATTTTTCTCCAGAAATTGATGTCTTGGGGCCACAAAGAAGAAAATAAATAAATTACATCCCGCAATGGTTCCACATGACGGCACGACATGACATGCAAATTTTTCTCCAGAAATTGATGTCTTGGGGCCACAAAGAAGAAAATAAATAAATTATAGGGAAGAAAATCATGTCTAGATAATGTGAGAAAAATATGTTTACTAAGTATACAAGCACCAAACTCAGCAAGAAACACGGGAACAACTAATTTCACGATTAACACACTCTTAAGCAATTGGGATACTCCCCAAAAATAAATGAAAAAAAAATAAAATTGACTTCCTATATGATAGGATTTCAACAACTTATTCTGAAGATGTAAGGACAACAATAACTCAACATAGAAACCACTTTGAACACAATAGCAGTAGTGTCTCGCACTAGAAATTGGGAAAGTGACATCAATTTGTGCTCCAACTTTAATTGCAATAATTATCCTTGGAAGAGGAAGCCATTGACGGTCATACCCCCGTCAGCGCAAATAGTCTGCCCAGTTATGTAAGAAGCTGCAGGGAGGCATAGAAATGACACCAAGGCTGCCACCTCTTCCGGCTCTCCCGACCGTCCTAACGGGGTTTGAGAGTTGACAGCATTCGAAAATTGTTCATTACCCAGAAACTACATGTATAAAGTAGAGAGAATGATAAGTTTTATGTACCTATATACATACGCATGTACCTCGTTATAAATATAAAAAAAACTAAAGTCTAGAATGGACTTAAATTTGAATAAATAATCGATACACCTGAAAACTCGAAAACTAAGGATCTTACATTTGCAGAAAGAGGAGTTCTGATGAACCAAGGTGCAACGCTGTTGACCCTTATGTTATCTTTGCCCCACTCACAAGCAAAGGATCTTGCCAATTGGTTTACTGCACCTGAAACATAATTGCCAAAAGAACAGTCACAATTTCACTTCATATACATAACTAACACACAAAATTTGAATGGAAAGTTCAAAAAGATCATTTGGAAAAAA